TTACTCATTTGCGTCGTGGATATTGGACGAATGGTATTCATTCACAAAGCTCTTCAGCTAGAGGATCAAACACGTAAGGAGCCATGTTCTCATCAGAGCATATCGCTAATCACATCCCAGGATCGCAACTGAGATGGGCCGTAATGGATCAAATCGTTGTTCACCTTTCGATCAATCACGCTACACTACCTCGTATCCAGACCTTCCTCTCGCATCTACAAATCGGCGGTATGAGCACGCATATGGGAGCAAGTCGGGGTGGTATACGGACGACTTCCAAGGGTAGAAGCAGCGCCGCCAAAACCACTCAGGACGACTTGAAAGTGGGGCGGACCTCCGATAAAGCTTGGAACTCATTATGCAACCGTTTCACCGGGAGTGTTAACAGAACGCCTAGCATCTCTGAAGAGCCTCTTCGTCATCAGCACGGCATTGAGCTATCCACAATCGTATACTCCGGGAAGGACGACGCTACACACAGGAATATGGAGCAGAGTCGATCAGCAGCAACATCGTTATCGAGCTCTAGGGAGGGCTTGACTAGAGAAGACATCGCAGGCTCGCTAGGGGGTGTGAGGGTGCAAAAGGAGTTTCATGTGGTTTATGACCAAATGTGATACGCAGCCTGAGTGACGCGTTTCAAAAGGCTCTCGCATCATATGCATTGATCAAAATATCACGATTTCTCCGTCCGCTTCATGACCTAAAGAAATGGCCAATAGAGTTGATCTCGCAAGCGACATTTCAAGTATGATTCGAGATGGCCTATCTAGGGTTTTGCGCAGCGGAGACATTATACTCGCGACGACCAAACAGGAACGTACGTCCCCTTCCATCCAGTCCACATCTTCGCCTCATCCGCTCCAGCTACGGGCTCTGCAATCTCTACAAGATTTGCATCGAGTACATCCCGACAGTCATCTTGCTCCGCATTCCTAGCCCAATCAATGGGCTTCTCTCCACCCCTGTCAAGCGCATCTTTGTTCGCCCCATAATGGAGCAGCAGCTTGACACAGTCCACATAGCCTTCTGCTGAAGCAGTATGCAGTGGACTAACATTGTCAAAATCGCACTTGTTGACATCCGCACCCGCTTCTAATAATGCGCGAATGACTGACAGTTGGTCACGACACACAGCTCCATGCAGCGCGGTACCTCCGTATCGACTTCCTGGGACGTTCAAGTCTACTCCTTGGTGGATGATATGCTGACAGACGTGGAGCAACCCGAAAGATGCTGCATAGTACAAAGCGGTTGCATGCTTTGGATACGAAGACCAACTGCTGCCAGCCGAGGAAGACCCGGCGTTCAAAGTTTGGATCCAGGACATGAACGCTTCATGATTGGACGGAGAAAAGAACGCAAGAACCTTTTCGTCATGTTGAATTGATGCTTTCTCTGGAGTTTCAGCTGCTCGTAGATAGTATGTCCAGGATGTGGTCGCATGGCGTAGGAAAGGGTAGTTTGCCAAGCGTGCAGCGAATTCGTCCCCAGATGTTGAAGGACCGCTCTGGAAGCTCCGGAAAGAGAGATAGGTTAGGCAGTCCAAAGCAAGTTCGCGATAGCTTGCGGTTCGGTTGAGTGCAAAGGCTGTCGCAGGGCCGTTGCGAATGTCTTCTGAAAGCAGATAGTCTTTCACAGAAAGGTGAGCGAGACGGACATGGCCTGGCCGATTCGTTGAGACTGTGATCAGACTGCCGCAAACAGCAATTATTTCTTCTGCGCTACTTAGGCACGAGTCTTCATCCAACTCTTCGCAGTCATGTTCAATAGCGATAGCAGAGTGAAGCTCCTCTAGTGTGACTGGCAACACCGTGAATGAGAGCCAGAGTAGGACTTTGCGAACGATGGGTGTATCAGCGGCGGAAACTCTCATCAATATGCTTTCGTAAATCTGTCCGAGCTCCTGTGGGAGGTGCTGGAGAGTGGTCCGGATATCGCGGACGGTACGAAGCGCAGATACTTGATCAAGGCTGCACTGGACCAATCGAAACCTGTATTGTTACTTTCATGTGACGCAAGTTCATGAAAGAGGCACTTACATTCCACAAGATCTTTCATGTAAACATACACTAATCTCATCCCTCACCGACGGTTTCAGTCGTAACAAACTTCGATCAGTTTGTAGTCTGTGGTCGATATACGTTTTGATGTCTTCATCGACCTCTCTTGTCCAGCCTTCCATCTGAATGAGCTCGAATGAAGCCAGTGCATCCTGGATATGGAGCTCATGCCGACTCGTAAGAAAGATGCTGATATTCTTTCCCAGGCTCTGGAGGTAAGCCAAGGATGACAATAACTCCTTCCGCTGAACGCATTCGTCAATCGCATCGACCAGCAAGATGATTCTTCTCGACACAGAAAGCAAACATAGCATATCTCTCAGCAAGGCCATGGATGGCCGTTTGTTCGAATGGCGACTATGATCAAAAGCAGCTTCTAACTCGTCGTAGCTGGCTCCGGTTTGGGAACATATCTGCGCGACCAAAGAGCCTAGAATATTAGTGGGGTCATGTGCCTCGGCCTTGCGGAAGTCGCAGTAGAAGAACGCCGCCAACGTGGGTTGCGGCAAAGAAGGCAATAAACTCTCGAGAGACTGGATGACGTTTGCGCTTCGGTCAAGTTAGATGTTGCATACTCCAGAGTTCAACACATACTCACAAAAGGATAGTTTTGCCAGACCCAGCTAAGCGAAGATGTCAGCACGGCCACTTCTGATGTCACAATGTTACATACGAAAGCCGCTCAGCCATAGTCCAGCATTTCCGGAGACAGCCCAGGCTTGAAACACCTTCGACTCGATGAACCAGCCGCCTGTTCCAGATTTCCTTGCAGAAGCGGCTGCTTCATGGCTCTCCCACGGCGTCACTGGAGAAAGCCAATGTGTAAGAGCTCGGGATCGATCATCTGTGCGCATCAGCTGCTGAAAGTTGCACGTTATAAAGAGACATACCTAGTTCTGCGCTCTCAATCCTAGTGAGGAGCTTGGAAACATTGCAATGCACATGGGCTGTGGTCTCGTTCAGAGAGATGGTCATCTTCCTGATGTCAAGGAGCAGAGCTCTACAAGGGTTGATAAGCTGAGAATGAGATGAGCGATGAAGCGGGGGCAGCCTACGTCTCATCTGCCGTCAACGCCAAAAGTATAGTGCTTTTGCACCGCTCTATCCTTTCTAGACATACTTTCGCGTCACCTTCTTTGAGCTGCCAACCCATAACCTGGGTGAACACTCGCGCTTTCGCCAACAGAGTTGACCTTCCAGGGGTCTGCTTGCCGGAGTTGATCTTCTTCTCTAGATCCGATAGCTCCTGGAGGCAGCGACTTAACGGGCTGGTCTCGGACTCGCATAGTAGTTGGAATGTGCGGAAACGTGCCGTGTCGGACTCTTTTGATGTGTCGAGCGCGCGGCAGACCTGTTCTAAGCTCTCCAACACATTTCGAAGGTCTCTTATCTCGTCGATGGTTCTGGTGAGGGACCAAGGACTCTGCTTGAGCGCTGAACGGACTTCGTAGCATAATGTTATAATGGAGTTGGCGACCTGCAATACCGTGATCACGTTTGCGGTGACGCTGAGAGGGTCCATACCTAGGTAGTCGTTCAATGGCAATGCTTTGCTCAGCGACGATCACGGAAAGCCTATATGAGCTCGGTGGCGTTGCACCTGTTGTGGCGGAGTCCGACAACGTGATAACCTCCAGGCTGAGCGAGGCATAATATCAGAAAGACACTTTCTTGCCATAGACACCAAGGCTGAAAGAGCCTTAGGCTGCAGTACTTGCATCGCCGACACTGCCAACGCGCCAGGCGCGCGTAGTGGAGTATGCATGGGACGGCCGTTCCGTCATCGAGTGCTGAAAGGCCTCGGCAAACAGGATACAGTAGATGCACACCGATCAGCGATCGAATGTCGAACATACAGCGAAGCTTGTATGACCTCGCGCATCGTTTGCGCAGGCTGGTGGAGCGGCATCAAGCGCGCAATAGTTGAAACGGGCAGGAAGTGTTGGTGGACTGCCCGCGAAGACCACGCGAAAGAAGCCGGAGCGCACGATGCAGATCGCAATTACTTACCCACATGTGCGGGGGCCATTCCGCATCCACCCACCTGCGTATCGCGAACAGACACACGTTGCAAAGGCGAACATGTCAACTGCACCCACTTCGTACTGTCTATGGATACATCTCCACCCAGCTAATCTTTTGACACCTGCTCTCACATCTGGTCTCGCTCACATACCTAGGTACTTTGCCGCCAAGGCTGAAAAATCGCAATCATCTTCCCAGCTACCGCCTGCATGGCTGAAAGGTTGCATTGCCCAGGCGGTTTCGATAAGCCTCTTGGAACCAAACGGGCCTGATAAACCAGGATCAACGCCACCTGGGCATGGATTCATCAGCTGGCTCAGCTCGATATGACCTCGGAAAGAGGAAAGCTCTGGTGATCATGCCGTCACATGCATGACTTTTATTCATCACCCACAGACCGGCAGATACTCGAGAGCAGATCAGACTTTATAGCTGCGTGCGCGCAGAGCCAAAAGATGGAAAGTCACGACCAGAATCATGTCATGGACATGCGCAGAGCCTGGAAAGTATCCAGCTAGATTATGGACAGGTAATTAGTCTGGACTGGGTAGCAACTTTGACTTTCTCTGAGCAGACTACATCCGACGCGAGTATGCAGCAACTGTACGGTCACCCTCGTCTGGTGAAGCGAGGGATGGGGGAGCTGCAACGATATCCAATCAGCTCCACACCACCGTCCCGTGTGCCTCCCCCTCTGGCAAGCTTGCGAAGTGCATGATATCTGTTGAGATCCTGCTCCGCTCTTGGTACCTGGCATGACCTAGATCCACATCTTTTGCTCGAGCGAATACGCATTCTCCAAGAATGACACTGTCTAATAAAAGAGTCCATGATGGTGGTAAAACGAACAGTAATAAAAAAGCACACAAGCGTTCCAAGCTGGTTGATGATTCTCAAGACCATGTGGACACGATGGCGGGCGCAGACGAACAAGACAATGAGACAGCTTATCAGGTGAGCTGACTTTGCCTTTATATCGCTAGTTCTTGATGTCTCATCGATATCTGACCGCTCTAGACTCTAAACAAAGCATCAGACTCCCGCGAACCACGCGCTACGCACCAACGACCAGGACTAAATCGCCATGACTCGCGACTGTCGGCTATCTTTGTTTCGAAAGGGTCCGGCATCGGTGAAGCAAAAGCCTCCTTTCCACCACAAAAGGTCGGGACCTCTTTGCCAAAATTGACGAGGTATCAGAGGATTCAGCCGACTGCAGTCAAGAGCAAAGAGAACCAAGGCATTCGAAACCCTGCTGGTAGTGAGAAGCCCACTAAGACGAAGTCGCGAATGTTGAACGCCCTCAAAAAGTTCGAAGACACATACGAATACTCATCCATTGGGTCTAAGCAGGTCCGCTTGCTTATCGTCAAGCCAGGACAGGAAGATGACGACATCAACGCAATCCTACAGGTCGTTGATGAAGATCAACTTGGGAACGATGATTATTGCTACGAAGCTCTTTCGTATCACTGGGGCGAAGGCGAGGACTTGCACAGCATCATCATCAACGACGAATAGGCCACGGAGCCCATAAAAGATTTCACGGCCGCGGTACTTAGTGCTCAGAAGAAGCTTTATGCAAATCGTCATTATGTGCGACCAAATCTGTATAGTGCTCTGAAACGGCTGAGAGCACAGGATAGGCATGTGGCGTTGTGGGTAGATGCACTCTGCATCAACCAGAAAAACGATGCTGAGAAGACGGTTCAGGTCATGAAGATGAATCAGATAGTATTCCAACCGCAACACAAGATCAAACATGTGGTATAATTCTCTAGTTCACATTGTTCTCCTTCTCCCATTTCACCACATCCAAGACTACCTCTTTGATGGTGTCATGGCCACTCTTCCACTGGGTTCCAAAGACAGCCTCCGACTTCGAAGTGTCAATTTTCGCAAATTTCTCCGGTCCTCTTCGCTCGAGATTAGGCTGAAGTGCAGGAATCCGCTTAGTCAACTCGAGAGATTCGGCACGGAGATCGACTGCAATTGCTCGCAAGTCCATGATCTCAGGCGAAACTAACAGATAGCGTTCGTTGCCAGGGACTTTGTTCCGATCAAGGGCGGTGACGTGGGATTTGGCCACGTCGTCAGTGTTTCTGGAGTTTTGTCAGCAAATTGCAAAGCAAGTACTAGTTGAGTGTACTTGAGCTCCGCAAGGGCAGACCAAACCGGCTGGCTGACTCCCGGAGCTCAAGAACCTGGGAAGATACTCACAGCACGAAGGGAAGGATGCTGTCCACACCCTGAACGTCATCTCCAGCCAACAGCGCTGTATACACAGCAGAGTTGCCTCCCGGTCCATTCGCGATAGGCTTGTATCCTGGTTGTGGGCTTCGTCCCGCGATCAAGGGTGGCAGTAGCATGACCACATCGTAGTCTGGTCGATTCGTTTCCACCCATGACCATGTCTTGTGCTCCGCGTCGGTCTTTGCAAACACATACGCAGACAGGGGGTCGTTCTTGGCCTCCTCGAAAGTGATGGGGTTGAAGTTCTTCTCCGAAATGACGACATTGGGGTTAAAGAAGTCGGGCAGAAGCACGGTCTGCACAATTGATCCGCAGATGACGACTCTCTTGACGGTCTTGCTTGTCTTAGCCGCTTCCAGAATGTTCTTGTCAATGGTCCACGTCGGCTCGATCATCTCTTTTACGAGGTCACCCCCAGGGCCCGCAAGGGGAGTTGCGACATGTACGACGGCTGTCGCGGATGACGAAGGCCCATCAAAGGCTCCAGCAACAGTCATGTCCGGGATGACAGTGAATGTTAGCAGACCGGACTGGACGGCGTCGGCAAATTTGGACTCAAAGAACGCGATAGCGGACGTCTTTCGAATGACTATGTTGACTTTGTGGTTTGCACGGATCAAGTACTCAAGGGTGATTGCACCGACATTGCCGGTGGCACCGGTAAGAAGGACGGATTCTTGAGCCATGGCTTCTGACACTTCAATATTAGCACCTGAGGCCGCGAAAGCTTCAAGGAGTTCTTCTTACCGTGTCGTCAGTCGGATGAGTTGAAGGGGATAGTAGAAGAGGTTCTAGACGAAATACTGATTTCAGTGCCGTTGCTATCTGGATAGAACTGAGAGTACAGGACCTGATACCTAGGTATTTAAGTAACACATGGTAGAGTAGTTGTCCTACAAACCACAACCGCCCTCTTTCAATCACATTGTTACGTGGTTCGATGTTTGAAGCACATTACTTAGTAAGATCAGTAACCACCGTTATCGACTTACCAACCCACCAACGTACACACCCAAAGTCCATCGCGAAAAGACTTCAAATTCGAGCGCGAGCCGAAAAGATCACACAAGCAAGATCAGTAAACGCAATGCCACGGACGAAAAGCCGAGGCTAACCCAATTAGTCTATCCAGCTTCTCGCTTAGCTACCTAGGTACCGTGCCAAAAGGGCCAATGCCTCGGACCAGAGATCTAGTACAGCGAATATAATAGACTGTATCTCTAGCATGTGCAGTCGCATGGAAAATCCGCTTGTTGCACTTACATAGGTAACTCGCAAGGCTGACACGTCGTATTGCGCCCTCTGACGTCACATCCATCCATTGCCCAACATCTCGGAAGGTAAATCAGAGTTCAGAACGCATCTCGTATGTGGCCAGTGGTGAAGCATGCGTATGCTACCGAAGGAGACACCCCACTTTGCCTGCGACAACAGAGAAAGGTAAACCTATACACATGAGAGTGTCATGTTGGTGAGTGCGCTGGTACTGGTGACACGGAGTTAACGTCAATCCTCCTTTCATTCCCACGCAATGGCAGCGACCGGTGAGGATAGCAATACAGTAAGCACGGGGATATATTCAGAAGATGAGGCTGAGTAGAGCATTGGCGTTGCAGGATAGGCACTCTACCTAGGTCCCTAGGCAGACCACAGCTGGGCATGAACCAAGATGCGGCCCGCTCGCTTCCGCTCGGCCCCCACGACCCAACACGCGGTGAATGCTCGAGATGCATTTCCCTACCTGGCGAATGTCTGGCGCGGCGGGGGCGCAGTTCGAGCGGGAACTGGAAAGTGTGGCGGTGTTTCTGGTCCGAGATAAGATCATAAGTAGGCAGGTAACAATTAAAACCCCATGCGCGTTCAGATACTTTGCGATACCATCTCAATGCGACATTAGATTCACTATTCACATGCCATGTATGCATCTCGATATAGGGAAGACCGATCAAGTGTGGATGTCGGTCCTCGGGGGATCCAGCTATTCGAAAGGTGCGAGTTAGGCGCGTGGCTATGACGTCATTGTAACCTCGCAATTGCCACTAACCAGCGTAGGGAGCCTACGGTCGAGCAAAACAGCGACTACGGCATTGATGCTATCCATGAATCACGTACTGGTTCAACTAAACCGGAGAGCTTTGCCACGAGCAATGGAAACGAATCGCACGACGACGACTTCTTGCTTTTAACACGATCCGCGGTGTTTCAGCCTCGGCGGCTGTCCAGGCGACCATTTCTGACAGGATGGCGACCCGGAGCAGTCTTGTCGCTCGTAGGAGCGATAACAATCACCATCTTCAACCTCGTCGTCACGATATGGGTATGGAAGAACCCTGAAAACATCATTGAAGGAACCATCGGAACATTGAGCATTGGTAACTGCGGACGGACAAGAAGATTAAACGTCAGAATTCATCTACTCGTTAACATCCTCAGCACACTACTGTTATGCGCAAGCAACTATTGCATGCAGGTCCTCAGCGCCCCCAATAGGGTAGAGCTTGACCGGGCTCATGCGAAACGAGTATGGCTGCACATCGGGGTACCAAACTTGCGCAACTTCAGACACATTGGACGCAGTAGATTAGCCGTCTGGCTTCTACTGCTCTGCACCTCTGTGCCACTCCACCTGTTTTTCAATTCAGTGGTCTTCGCCAAACTTCAGGCCAACAACTACGCGGTCCTTCCTATCACAGATGATTGGTTCCATGGAGCGCCATATGACACGTCCAACTTTAAGAACCTCACGAAAGACGTTACCGAGGAAATGGTGCTAGAGATGGACAAATATCGGCCCAATCTTTCTGATGTCGTCTATCTAAGAAAGGACGGCACGATGCCGAGATACAAGAATATCAGCACGTCGGATTGCTTTACCCAGTACGACAACCATTACGTCTCTGGAATGGGTAACGTTTATCTGGTGCAAGACTACCCTACAGTGTGGCGGAATAACACAACGTGGCAATTGTGGCGTAATCCCAACACGTCGTATTTTGTTTGGGATAACATTAATTCCCCGTCAGATCGTATAGACCGGAAATCACCGCACAAACTCGACCTTACGCCTACAACGCAGAGACTACCCGAAATAGCCTCACCAGAGGTTTATCCATCGAACACGTGGCGCTGTCCTTCCCATGTAGTCAAGGGCTGCGATGTTCGGAGTCGCTATGAAGTGCCGCACAATCGGTCAGATTGGCGACCTTACGGCAATCGAATCAATCATTGCATAGTCGAGCAAGTCGAAGAATTCTGTAAACTACAGTTCAGCTTCTCTATCGCACTGGCTGTCATACTTTCAAACATTGTCAAGGTGGCCTGTATAGCTGCGACGCTCTTCATCTGTGGAGACCATGCTCCTCTCGTTACGGTGGGCGATGTAGTGGCGACATATCTCGATGAGCCAGATCCGACAACCCGCAATCGCTGTCTATATTCCAGACAGCTTATCGAGTCTCTTTGGGAAAAAGAGGGTAAGCCCCAACAACCAGCGCGGAAATCCATTCCCCAAAGATACAATGCAAAAGAGGAGAGGTGGAGGAAGGCTCCTAGTGAGAGCAGATGGATCTGGACATACGCAACGTGAGTCAGCAGACCTTAACCCACGATCTAAGCTTATCATGCCCGGGACAGTTATTTTGCCGTCTTCGTTTTCGGCATTCCAAGTCTTTACTATTCTCTCGTGGGTATGCCCTCGGACCCACGCGAACTATGGCAAATCGGTTTTGGCACCGTAAACGGCGCCAACCTGTTCAGCTCCAACCTTCCGCTCGTAGGTAGTATTATGCTTGCAAACACACCACAAGTACTACTGTCCTACTTTTACCTAGCCTTTAACGCTCTTTACACGAATATGCTTGTCGCACACAAATAGGCCTCGTATCTGAACGAGCGCAAACCCCTTCGGGTCACCTCTCCGCGTGGAGGACAGCGAGATACCCATTGGCTTAACGTGCCGTTTCGATATGCGATCCCCATGACGATTATCTCTGGCCTCTTCCATTGGCTCGCTTCCCAGAGTGTCTTCATGGTCCGCATTTCCATCACGGATCAAACGCGTCAACCTGTGAATCAGATCTCGACAGTCGGATATTCGCCAATGGCCATAATCTTGACACTTGTCATCGCGACCATCATCGCAGGTTTCGGGGCAGTGCTCTCGTGCTTCAAATACCCTGCTGGTATTCCTCTGGCTGCAAGCTGCTCCGTGGCTATTAGCGCTGCATGCCATCCTCCTATGGTGGACCAAGATGCGAGTCTGCGGCCTG